CACACTGGTGCCCCTCTGAAGAAGAGCAGCACTGGCTGGAGCATACATGCTAACCAGCTGGACGTGCTGCCAAATCTGCAGACCACACGTTGATTCCGTTCTATACTTTGCTCAGAGTCATTGCCTTGGTCGCCGAGCACCTTCCAGTAGAGCATTAAGCAACACAACGAACACCTGTCCTTGGTGACATGGTGCACTAGTAAGTGCACCGGATAACCACGTCTCCTACTATTTCCTTCAAAGAGATTCTGCCCTGTTGGTTTTTGGGGGCGGGGGGATTCCATAGGCCCTCGTCACACCCACTCATTTCTGGCACACAATGCAGGCCCTATCTAGATTGTTACTGTTTTATTTGCATTCACATAACCTCAGCTCAAGGACTATCTTCTTGTATTTTTACATTCTGGATTTCCCTTCACTAAACTCCAATGAGTGTCCTGAGCATAGTGCAGCATGTGTTACTCTACCGAGGGCACCTATGATGCTCCCTGTGCTCGGGAAAAGCTTCCCTTCCACCGCAGGACTGAGCACGGGTTTGTAGCTGTGATCTCTGAAGATCCCTATGCAATAACATGGTAGCAGGAATCATTTTTTTAGTCGCACAACAAGGGCACAAAGGAGGAGATCTGCTGCTTCCGGGCCCTGAACCGCTCCTCTCCTCCTCCTGACGTACACACTCACTCTCCGTCCTATCGGTAAAATGGAAGAATCAGCAAATGGTTTGTGTTGATCTAATGCAGCAATTAATAACCACAACTCCCATCCCCTCTCATTGTCACCTGCCCCCTTTTTAAACCACTGGCTTTAAACACAGTTATTCTCTCCCTCTGCAGCATATAGTCCTGCGTGTACACACCCCAACTGCTCTAGCTGATGCCCTTGTGCTTAGTGGTGATGAGTGATCTAGAAACGACAATTAACAAATCAACTAAACACGTTCCCTTTCTTTGAGTACAGAGCCAACAGCCGTGTCAGATCTGCATCGTTAACTCACTGCACTTTTCACCAGTTTCGATTGCCAGGCTGCCTGGGTATTCTGTGTGCATTCCAGCAGGACGTGCTGAGCTTTGCTGGCTATGTCCATGTTTCGGTTGGTGCCCTAAGATCAGTGACTTAACAGAAAGGAAGCTGTTTATACCCAGTTAAGTTTATACTTAGCTAAGTTCATGGAGGATAGGTCCATCAATGGCTATTAGCCAGGATGGGCAGGGATGCAAAACCATGCTCTGAAGTGTCCCTAGCCTCTGTTTGCCAGAAGCTGGGAGGGGGCGACAGGGGATGGATCACTTGATGATGACCTGTTCTGTTCATTCCCTCTGAAGAACCTGGCATTGGCCACTGTTCGAAGACAGGATACTGGGCTAGATGGACCTTTGGTCTGACCCAGTATGGCCATTCTTATGTTCTTATGTTCAGTTGGGAGGGAATGAGAACAGAGCAAGAATGTAACAATTCCCCACCATAAGACCCACCAGCACAGCCAGCACTAATTGGCAACCCTGTCGGCAGTGTCAGCAGAGAGGCCAAGAAATGCATGGAAACAGAGAGTGAATGATCACCCTTTACCCATGAGGGAGGACTGTCCAAGGCAGGGTGGAAGCAAGTTGGCAGGAGGCAGTGGAAGGGAGTTTGTAACTCTGCTGCTGCCTTCGCTTGCCAGGACTGTTTCTCTGGCACTTTTCACCTGCACTAAAATCATTTTAAAAACGTTACCATTTTTGTCTCTCTCCTTCCATAGCACCCTTCCTTCCCAGGATCTTATGAACATAAGACTGGCCATACTGGGTCAGACCGATGGTCCATCTAGCCCTCTCCCACAGTGCAGCAATGTAAGGGCTAGCCACAATCGAACCTTGGGTCATTTCAAACCAGTTTTGCTTTGAAAGGAATTTCTGTGACCTTCTTCTGTTTGTATTTTGAAACTCACCTGAGAGCTAATAGGTAGCTAGCGAGCAACTTCTTAGGCTGATGGATAAACCTCAAAAATCAGTAATGGGATACAAGCTCAGAAGATTTTATATGAGTGTTATTGCTGCTGAAAAAGAACAAAGCCAGTACATTGATCAGTGCTGACACTTAAAACTAAAATACTGGCATTGCAACAGCAATCTACCTGATCCTTGTCTTGTAGCCTTATAAACGCCACGAAGTTGTGATATTCCTGTTGCATCCTGCAGCCTAAACTGGGATAGGCTGTGTCAGTGCATGGGTAGATGCGAGAGTCCAAAGAGCGGGAAGCAGCACAGGCGAGCGATGTGCTGGCCACGGCTTCTTGTCGCCCCCATTGGCCCGGGACGGCGAACCGCAGCCAGTGGGGACCGCGATCGGCCGAACCTGCCACGTCAGCAGGTAAATAAACTGGCCCGGCCCGCCAGGGTGCTTACCCTGGCAAGCCGCATGCCAAACGTTGCCGACCCCTGCAGTAGATAGTGGTCTTTCCTCTGAGCCAGTCTGCTGATAGTGTTAGGGCAGGGGTGGGCAAACTTTTTGGCCCGAGGGCCACATTGGGCTTGCACAACTGTATGGAGGGCTGGGTAGGGAAAGCTGTGCCTCCCCAAACAGCCTGCCCCCCCATCCGCCCCCTGACTGCCCCCCTCAGAATCCCCAACCCATCCAACCCCCCCCCTGCTCCTTGTCCCCTGACCACCCTCTCCCGGGACCCCCGCCCCCTATCCAACTCCCCTGCTCCCTGTTTCCTGACTGCCCCGAACCCTATCCACACCCCCGCCTCCTGACAGCTCCCCCCAGGACTCCCACCGCCTGTCCAACCCCCCTCTGCTCCTCGTCCACTGACCACCCCCTCCCGGGACCCTCCACCCCTAACTGCCCCCCAGGATCCCACCCCCTTATCCAACCCCCCCAGCTCCCTGTCCC